AATTTAATGTTGTAGATCATGGTAATGAAAAACTAGCCACATCCTAAAATTGGTTTTGTATCCATTGTTTGAGTGAATTTGGCTTTTACTTCTTTAGAGAGTGAATAAAAAAAGTCGTTCGCATTTTTCTTCCCTTTTTCTGAGACAAGATAAGAACTAGGCTTTCTATGTTTTTGTAGAGTGAAGATGACTAAAAACACTTGGGGGAAGAAATTAAGATTTGGACTTGTGAGTTATGAGTAAAAGAAAATTAAAGAGCTTACCAATGGTTGTTTGTAAGACAAAGATTTTAGTTTAAATTTTATTTCCATAGAAAATTCTCAAACAGTGAAAATATTCATTTCATAGGAAAGGATAACCCTTAAGGACATCCATGGCCTTGCATGCTTAATTGAGTCAGTTCAATTATATTCCTTGCTTATATTTTATATTTCTTGTATCATCGACCACTCAAAGTTATGATTATTACAATTTAGGTGTTTTTGGTATTTGGGTGTTTCGATTTTTTCTAAGGTTAAACATTCTGGTTTGTTACTGGACTTCCTTCGCACCATGAACACTAAAAGATTAGCTATGTGTTGGTCGCTTTTTTCAGTTTACTTGGTTTATGTCAAATCGTAAAATCACGTGGAAGCTGTATTTGTGTATTGTTTATTCCTAATGAGAAGCAATTAGCAAGTGGTTCAGGCAACACCATTGTCAAGTTTTGGGATCTCAACATTGAAATTACATTGTTTACTTTCAAAGATTATAAATTTGACTCACCACCATTAATTTTCATTTTACTTTCTATTAGGTAAATGCTTGTAATCTTAGACAAAAACTCTCAGGAACAATAAAGATAGACTTAAACTACATAAAACTCCAAGAACACACCAAAAAAGTAACATACAATAGGGATGTTTAGGAGCCCTTCTCTACTCTCTTTCACTCACAAAAGACCAAAATTACAAGCTACCTCCAAGGATATGCATCACCCATGCTTTATTGTCGATCTCACACTTGGTTGCTTTCACTCCTTTGTCTTCTTCTCTGACGTGTCCTCCCCATTTCTTGATATGACCGTTGCTTGAATTGAGTCATCATTGTCTTGGATCAGCTTCCCTTGTCTCCCAAGTTTCTTGTTTCTCTTGCGCCTGTACTGGTACAGTACTGGGGCTTGCTCCCTAACAATACCCCCCCCCCTTTCTGAGGA